TGTATAGAGCCAAAGATGTTAGAATTGTGTCGATGTCCCATTATTTCTGGACCTGACTGTATATGTATCCCACCTGTATGGCTCCCTAAGCAGTTTACTACCAGTACAAACAAGTGTACATAGAAGTACAATAAAAATGATTGAAAAACAAACTTTTAGTATCCTTCCTATAGAACAATTGCTAGTAAGGAGGGAGAGAAATGGGATTATTTATATATGATCTTTTAGGCAGAAATTATATACAGGTAATTCTCAACTTATGACCACAATAGGGACCAAAAAATCCATTGTTAAGTGGTGCAGTTGTTAAGTGAGGCTTCATGTGGCCACACCCAATTTTAGAACATTTTTTTGCAGCGGTCATTAAGTGAATCGCGGTTCCCCATTGATTTTGCTTGTCGCAAGTCAGCTGGGAAGATCACAAATGGCAATCACATGACCCCAGGAACTGCAACCATTGTAAATGCATGCCAGTTGGCAAGCGCTCGAATTTGGATCACGTGATCGTAGGGATGCTGCAACAGTCATAAGTGCGAGGACTGGCTGTCAGTCGCTTTTCTCAGCGCCATCATAACTTTGAATGGTCGCTAAATGAATGATCGTAAATCAAGGACTACCTGTATACAATAAAAGAATATTAATTTGTGGTGTCACAAGCTATTGCTTTATATAGTCAAAAATGTCAAGAGTTGTAGTGAATTATCAAAATGATCTGTTAAGATGTATATACTACATTAAATGTAGATGCTCTAGAACAGATTCTATAAAAGATGGGCTATAACTCAACAAACAGTGCTCTTCTACGTTAAAAATTTCAGCCTGTTCTGGAGTTCAACTGGCCTTGGTTCTTAGGTATGAGAGTAGAAGTTCAGATTAATTTCTCTTTCCTGTATGCATTTCCTAATGCATTTATCAAGCTTAATATACAGGTAGTCCTTGGCTTACGACCATTCGTTCAGTGACCATTCAAAGTTATGATGGCGCTGAACAAGGGGAACTTACGACTGGTCCTCCAAGTTGCGGCCATCACAGCCCCCTGTGGTTATGTCATCACCATTTGTGACCTTCCCTGCTGG